GCACCCCAGCCTGCAGTCCATGTGCAGGGGCAGGAGCCTCTGACTGCCTCCATGCTGGCCGCAGCACCCCCCCAAGAACAGAAGCAGATGTTGGGTGAGTGACCCACGTGCTTGCAGAAGATGCTAGAAGCTGGTGCCAACCCAGACACCAGTGTCTTGTCTTTACTGAGATTCAATTTGGTTTTTTTTGTTGTTTTTTTTTTTTTGGAGACAGAGTCTCACTTTGTTGCCCAGGCTAGAGTGAGTGCCGTGGCGTCAGCCTGGCTCACAACAACCTCAGTCTCCGGGGCTCAGGCGATCCCTCCTGCCTCAGCCTCCCGAGTAGCTGGGACTACAGGCATGTGCCACCATGCCCGGCTAATTTTTTATATATATTAGTTGGCCAGTTCTTTTCTATTTATAGTAGAGATGGCGTCTCACTCTTGCTCAGGCTGGTTTCGAACTCCTGACCTCAAGCAATCCCACCCGCCTCGGCCTCCCAGAGTGCTAGGATTACAGGTGTGAGCCACCTCGCCCGGCCTGTAGCGGTTTGTTGTGGAGGTGCCACACTGACCAAGCCTTCAGACTCATAAGCTATTTAGTGGTTGAATGCATTGTTTGGATGAGTGGGAACAAACGTTCTCCTGTGCAGAGGGACGGTTGAAAACCAAATTGAGTGCTGGCGTGGGTGGTCACCCTGTAATCCTAGCACTTTGGGAGGCCGAGCGGGCGGGATTGCTCAAGGTCAGGAGTTCGAAACCAAGCTGAGCGAGACCCTGTCTCTACCAAAAATAGAAATAAATTAATTGACCAACTAAAAAATATATATACAAAAATTAGCCGGGCATGGTGGCGCATGCCTGTAGTCCCAGCTACTTGGGAGGCTGAGGCAGTAGGATCGCTGAGCCCCGAGACTGAGGTTGTTGTGAGCCAGGCTGACGCCACGGCACTCACTCTAGCCTGGGCAACAAAGTGAGACTCTGTCTCCAAAAAAAAAAAAAACAACAAAAAAACAAATTGAATCTCAGTAAAGACAAGACACTGGTGTCTGGGTTGGCAACCAGCTTCTAGCATCTTCTGCAAGCACGTGGGTCACTCACCAACATCTGCTTCTGTTCTTGGGGGGTGCTGCGGCCAGCATGGAGGCAGTCAGAGGCTCCTGCCCCTGCCATGGACTGCAGGCTGGGGTGCCTGGGAACCAGGAAAGGCAGGTTAGCACTGAGGAAAGGACGGCAGCTGACAGTGGTCGAACACTGACCAGTCAACATGTGAACTCCTAACTATGTGAAGAGGAATGGATGTAGTTGTCTTGCTCTCAAGGAATTAATTGCAGTCCTTGAGAGGTGGAGGGGTGTGGCAGGGAATAGAATGATATGACATAAAAACAACCAATCAATGAAAATGGCATGCTATCAGAAAAGGAAAATGAAATGCATAAATAAAACCTATAATGCCAGGCAAGCATTTTCTGACATTTCATTTAATATACCCAAAGTTATCCAAGAATTCAAAATTTTTATTATAAATAAGGCTACAGTGAATATTTATATGCATAGCCTTTCCTGAAAATTGTTTTCCTTAGGGTGAATATGAGTACAGATTGGTCAAAGGGTGTGAATATCAAAACATTTTATAATTACATCCCATGTCACCTTTATTGTATCAAAGCTTAAAAACTGTCACATGCAATGTCAATGCTAGTCATAGCCCCAAAGGTAGAGCTTTGCTGAAAAAGGTATTTAACAACATCAGGTTTCAGAAAACCTCCAACTTAGGAGAGTATGGGCAAGATGGTTAAAGAGTAATCTATCGGCCGGGCGCTGTGGCTCACGCCTGTAATCCTAGCTCTTGGGAGGCCGAGGCGGGCGGATTGCTCGAGGTCAGGAGTTCAAAACCAGCCTGAGCAAGAGCGAGCCCGTCTCTACTGTAAAATAGAAAGAAATTATTGGCCAACTGATATATATATAAAAAATTAGCCGGGCATGGTGGCGCATGCCTGTAGTCCCAGCTACTCGGGGGGCTGAGCAGAAGGATCACTCAAGCCCAGGAGTTTGAGGTTGCTGTGAGCTAGGCTGACGCCACGGCACTCACTCTAGCCTGGACAACAAAGTGGAGACTCTGTCTCAAAAAAAAAAAAAAAAAAAGAGTAATCTATCCACTAAATAGCTTATGAGTCTGAAAGGCTTGGTCAGTGTGCACCTCACAAACACGCTACAGGCCGGCGAGGTGGCTCACACCTGTAATCCCTAGCACTCTGGGAGGCCGAGGCGGTGGGATTGCTTGAGGTCAGGGAGTTCGAAACCAGCCTGAGCAAGAGTGAGACCATCTCTACTATAAATAGAAAAGAACTGGCCAAACTAATATATATAAAAAATTAGCCGGCATGGTGGCACATGCTGTAGTCCGGCTACTCGGGAAGGCTGAGGCAGCCAGGATTGTTTGAGCGGCCAGGAGTTTGAGGTTGCTGTGGGCCTACGGTGATGCCAGGGCACTCACCTCTAGCGCTGGACACAACAAAAGTGAGACTCTGTCAAAAAACAAAAGACAAAAGACAAATCGCAACTGGCATCTCGTGAAGCAAAGTAGTAATTAATTGGCCAACTAATATATACAGAAAAATGAGCCCGGCATGGTGCGCACGCCTGTACTCCCAAGCTAGCTCGGGAGGCTGAGGCAGGAGGGATCGTTTGAGCCCAGGAGTTTGAGGTTGCTGTGTTAGATAGGCTGACACCATGGCACTTCACTCTAGCCTGGGCAAGAGTGAAAACTGTCTCCAAAAAAAAAAAAAAAAAAAATCTAAGCTCTGGTCAAACAGTCCCCCACCCTCGTTGGCGCCCTTTTTTAAGCTTGAACTTCTTATTCTGTAAATTGAAGTTACTTCCTGCCTTCGATGTACAAATCATCCTGGCAGAGCACCAAAGGATCAAACCAGGCCACTGGATGTGGAAGTATTTGGAGGTTCAAAGAGCTGAGTAGCACATGCATGTTATAAAAGGAGAGCAGGAAGCACTTGGCTGCCCTCTTTCTGGGGCATTTTTTTTTTAATTAAAATTTTTTTTTCAATCTCAGTGGCTTTGTGATTTTAGAATCAGGCAATACTTCATTCCATAAACAGAGTAAGTTGTTCTCTCCTCTGGGGCACTTGTGCGTGAACTTGTTTATTAGGAAGAAGAACACTTTCAAGCCCCTTTGTTGCTCTGGTAGTTCCCAGCCCCCTTGAAGGGCAAGGACAGTGTCTGTATCACCCCGAAAACAGAACACAAGCCCCTACTACACAGAACAGGAACGACCTGGTGAAAGAACTTATCAAAGGGCAAAGCATCTTAAAATTAAGTGGAAATGGAAAAAATCCTTTTAGGCATCCTGTTCGCTGTCGGAGCCTCCAGCCGTGCAGAGGCTGTATTGCCAGGATGTAGCGGCTGCGGACACTGGAGGCAGTATTTGTATGGTGCAAACAGCTGCTAACGGGTAGCAGCAGCAGCAGTGACAGCAGCACCGAAGGCGCTCAAAGTTCTGCACGGCTGTGGAAACGCCTTAGGGAAAGAACAA